GCTTTTTGAGTTCTTTATATATCCTAGAGATTAGTGCTCTGATGTGTGAGGGGTAAAAATTTGCTTCCAAGATGTAGGTTCTCTGTTCACCTCACAGATTGTTTCTTTTGCTGAGAAGAAACTTTTTAGTTCGATCCCTTCCATTTATTGATTCTTGGTTTTAATTATTGTGCTATAGGAATCATATTAAGGAAGTTGGGGCCTAATCCCACATGATGATTAGGGCCTACTTTTTCTTCTATTATATGCAGAGTCTCTAAGCAGTATGGAGATTCCTTGGAAAGCTGGGAAAGGAACCACAATTTGACCTAGCTATCCCTCTCCTCATTCTATACCCAAAGGACTTAAAAACAGCTTACTACAGGGACACAGCCACATCAATGTATATAGCAGCACAATTCACAATAGCTAAACTGTGGAGCTAACCTAGATGTCCTTCAGTGAGTGAATAGATTTTTAAAAAAATGTGGCATATATACACAATGGAATTTTACTCAGCAATAAAAGAGAATAAAATCATGGTATTTGCAAGTAAATGGATGACGTTGGAGAAGATAATACTGTGAAGTTAGCCAATCCCAAAAAAAACAAATGCCAAATGTTTTCTCTGATATAAGGAGGTTGACTCATAGTGGGGTAGGGAGGGACAGCATGCGAGGAATAGATGAATTCTAGATAGGGAAGAGGGGTGGGAGGGAAAGAGAGGGGACAGAGGATTACCAAGGATGGTGGAATGTGATAAACATCATTATCCAAAGTACATGTATGAAAACTTGAACTGGGTGTCAACATACTTTATATACAAACTGAGATATGAAAACTTGTGGTATATATGTGTAATAAGAATTGTAATGCATTCTGCTGTCATTTATTTAAAATAAAATTTTTTAAGTTTCCAATGAATCAACAATAAAGAACTTAAAAGTGATATTGTAATTTAGTCAAAGAACTGAGTTATAGCTCAGATGACAATGCGGACATTATTTAGCCAAAACTCATACAGCAACAAAAAGGCATATAAAAGCCAAAATGGAATTTTTTTAAAAGTGATTTCATTTATTAATTAAAGCAGAGAAAATATATTTATGATAAAATCTTTTCATAACTGTATGTGGAAAACATTAAATAAATGTTAGGTAAAAAACAATTTTTCTCAGAATTTATGAACTTCTTGAGGGTTTTTAAGATGGCAGAATACAGAAGGTTGCTTTCCAGGATGCTTCATGGTATGAAACCAAGGAAGAAGACAGGCAGCTTCTCAGCAAGTGACGTACTAGACACCTTCAGGGACAGTGTAAGTCCACAGGGTAGAAACTCTGTTGCTTCACATAGATACTGTTGGATTGGTAGACACACAAGCAGCATGAACAAGCAAGGGAACAAACTGCCCCAAACAAACCAAGGTACTTCAATAACGGAATCCATGGACACCACAGTGGAAGAAATGTCAGTGAAGGAGTTTATAATGTACATAGTTAAATTATCTGCAAAGTAAAGAAAGGTATAAGGTATGAAATCAGGAAGTAAAAGATCACTTCAATAAAGAGAGATTTGGGAGAAAAATAACACAGGCAGAAATCCTCAAAATTGTGGCATATAAACACAATGGAATTTTACTCAGCAATGAAAGAGAATAAAATCATGGCATTAGTAGGTGAATGGATGGAGTTTGAGAAGACAATGCTAAGTGAAGTTAGCCAGTCTCAAAAAACCAAATGCCAAATGTTTTCTCTGATATAAGGAGGCTGATTCATAGTGGGGTAGGGAGGAAGATCATGGGAGAAAGAGATGAACTCTAGATAGGGTAGAGGGGTGGGAGGGGAAGGGAGGGGGCATGGTGTTAGAAATGATGGTGGAATGTGATGGACATTATTATCCAAAGTACATACATGAAGACACAAATTGGTGTGAATATACTTTGTATGTAATCAGAGATATGAAAAATTGTGCTCTATTTATGTAATAAGAATTATAATGCATTCCACTGTTATATATAAATAAAATATTTTTAAAAATCCTCAAAATGAAGGAAACAATAAACTAAATTAAAAATTCAATCGAAAGCATCACCAACAGACTAGATCACTTGGAAGACAAGAATTTAAATTGACCATGGAGAAAAGATGTAAAGTGACCATAAACAGAACTTCCAAGAAATATAGGATAACCTGAAAGACCAAATTGAAGATGTATTGGGATAGATGAAGATTCAGAGATACAAACAAAAGGAAGGTACAATCTTTTTGATGCAATAATATCAGAAAATTTCCCAAACCTAAAGAATGAAATGGAAAAGCAAATATAGAAGGCTTACATAACTCCAAATATACAAAATTACAACAGATCCACACCAAGACACATTATTATGAAAAAGCCTAATATACAGAAAAAGGATACAATTTTAAAGGCTGCCAGAGAATAATGACAGTTAATGTTTAGAGGAAAACCAATCCAGATTTCAGTTGTTTTCTCAACACAGGCTCAGAGCTAGGAGGTATTGGAATGATATATACTAAGATCTGAAAGAGAATGGATGCCAGCCAAGAATGCTATACCGAGCAAAATTAAGCTTCAGAGTTGATGATGAAATAAAAACTTTCCTAGATTAAAAAAAAGTGAAAAGAATTCACTAGAAAGCCTTCAGTACAAACATACTAAATAAGATATTTCATGAAGAAGAAAGGAAAAATAAAAGTGAAAACTACCAATGTGAAAAACTACACTAAAAGAACAATGAATCAATGGAGAAATTAATTCAAATTAAAAAGCAGAAATAAATAAAAATGACACGGAATAAAAATCATATCTCAATGATAACATTGAATATAAATGGCTTATATTCATTAATCAAAACATATAGACGGAATATTGGATTAAAAAACAAGACTCAAAAACATGCTGTTGCCAAGAGACTCACTGACAAAGACTTCTGCAGACTGAAGGTAAAAGAATAGAAAAAAAATGTCATTCACATGGATCTTGTAAACAAGCAGGGGTTTTTTTCTTATATAGGTAAAATGGACTTTAAGCCAAAATTAATCAGGAGGGACAAAAAAGACCATTCATATCACTGAAGGGAATCATATAACAAGACATAACAATTGTAAATATTTATGTTCCAAAAATTGGACTACCTAAGTGCATCAAACAAACCCTTCTCAATTTCAAGAATCAAACACAATAACACTGGGTGACTTTAACACACTTCTCTCACTTCTGGATTGATCCACCAAACAAAAACTAAATAAAGAAGCTATAGAAGTAAAAACTACAATTAATACTTTAGACTTAACAGACATATATAGAATATTGCATTCATCAATGTCTGAATACACTTTCTTCTCAGCAGCACATAGATCCTTCTTTAAAATAGAACATAACTTAGGCCACAAATCAACCCTTAGCAAGTACAAAAAAATATAAATAATACCTTGCATTCTACCAGATAATAATGGAATGAAATCAGAAACCCACAATAAAATAAAAAATAAAAACTACTATATTGACTGGAGACTAAATAATACGCTATCAAATGATGAATTGATAGCAGAAGTAATCAGGGATTAAATAACAAAATACTTAGAGGTAAATTAGAAAACAATACAACATATCAAAATATCTGAGACACTATGAAGGCAGTGAAAACAGGAAAGTTAATTGTACTGAGCTCATTTATTAAAAGAATAGAAAGTCAATGAATAAATAACCTAACATTATATCTTAAAGCCCTAGAAAAAAAGAACAAATCAACATCAAAGGCAGTAGAAGATAGTAAACAATTAAAATCAGAGATGAAATTGAAACAAAAGAAACAATCCAAGATATCAACAAAATAAAAAGTTGATTCTTTGAAAGAATCAATAACATTGATAAACTCTGAGCCAAACTAACAAAGAAAGAGAAAAAACTCAAATTACTAAGTTTGTGATGAAAAAAGGAAATATCACATGAAAATACGGATGATAACCATAACCTATATTGACAATTTATACTCTAATAAAATAGAAATTGTGAAGACTTCAACACATTTCTGGAGACATATTACTTACCCAAATTTAATCAGGAGGGCATAGGAAATTTTAAACAGATGAATTTCAAGCAATGAAATTGAAGATTTCATCAAAAGCCTATCAAGAAAGAAGAGTCCAGAACCAGATGGACTCTCAGCTGAGTTCTATCAGACCTTCAAAGAAGAATACACACCAATCCTCCTAAAATTATTCCATGAAATAGAAAAGGAGGGAACCCTTCCAAACTCATTCTCTGAAGCTATTATCACCCTAATACCAAAATCAGACAAAGAAACATCAAGGAAAGAAAATTTCAGACCAATATCCCTGATGAAAATAGATGCAAAAATTATTAATAAAATACTGGCAAATCACTTACAAAAACATATTACAAAGATAGTGCACCATAATCAAGTGAGGTTCATCCAAAGGATGCAAAGTTGTTTCAACATATGGAAATCAATAAACATAATTCATCACATCAATAAAGATAAGAATCACATGATCTTCTCAAGAGATGCAGAAAATGCATTTGGTAAAA